CCGGAGAGCCAACGCACTAGAGAATGAGGAATGCGACGGTATCTTTCGGTTTCCAGGACAGTGGATTCCTGCGCAAACTTATTTTAGGACGTTTCAACCTTTAAACCTTTTCGTTGCACAAATTCAAAGAAATTGGCGCTGTTCGCGTACCGCCTGCACCGGGTGCCAAGTACAGTACCGAGAATGCTCTGAGCCTTCAAACTGCTGCTAATTAAATCCTCGGTGTCCTTCATCGGCATAACCTGTGTTCTTCTCCTGTATGTCCTTAACTATATACTGCTGCTGTCAAAGAGTTCTGAGACTCACATCTTCATTCATTCATTCATTCATTCTGGTCGTCACCTTCTATTCTGTCCAGTAAACGCAAACTTTGAAAAAAATATTTGTATATTAGGAACATTTCTGTACTATCTCACAAGTGCCAGCGTACCACTGGTGGTATGTGCAATATTCAAAAGAAAGAATAAGTGTTTACTGCGGTCTCCTGCAGCCTTAACTAGAGTAACAGCCAAGTGAAGAGGATTGAGTTAATTTCAAAACATGGAGCATTTTTATTTAACGTGAAAAATACCTGTAGTTAAAGAATTTGTTTCAAACTCCAGTTAAAGAAATAGTTGTACGTAGAATTTAAACCATTATTACAACGAAGGATCATTCTACAAATATATTTCTTCATCAGATGGTACCATCAGAAGATGGTGCGTGAACACTGTACCAGTCTTGGAAGGAGTCCACTACTTGAAAAAAAAAAAAAAGCGAGGCTTGGACTTCAGGTCGCAGATATTGTCATCCGTTTCAAAGTTGCACAACGAAAAAAAATGAGCAAATGTTCACATACTGTAGATAAACTCAATAATCGCAATGGCTTTCACTCGCCTTAGGACTATAGTAGCACTAACCGCCCTTGAGTCCAGGTCACAGTGCTTAAATATTGCTTCATGCTTATCCTACTGATTTATTTACTCATTAATTTCTTCCTTCGACTGGCTTTAGCTTGGGCTATGAGCACAGAATTACATTTTAGAACACTGATATTTTCCAAGAGTAATTTAAACCACTAATGTTACTCATGCATCACTGTGGTGCTTAGAATTCGTTTTCAACCCCTTTGTTAAGAGGATTATTATTCGTAATCACATACTCCCTGCTTTCAGAGTTTCACAATATCAAATTATTTTATTTGCTTAACGCAGCGAGGTTCTCTTTGTCTGAAAATATAACACGGTCTAAAAGCGGTGCTCATTTCCTTTTTACAGGTTTTGATGACAGCATCCGGCTGGACCGGCGGAAGTGCCAAATTCTCGAGTCTCATTAGGAAGCAAAAAGTATCCATCGAGTAGCATCGAAATAGCACACAGGATGAGAAAATCATTAAAATTCGTGAGACAATCCGATTCACCGTCTGACGGGTAATCCCACAACACGACTATTCGCCCTCTTCCGGGAATGGCTTCATGGTACTTGAGAAGGAAAAACTGCTGCCATGCTAGAAAAAGGATACTAGAAGCCAAGGATCCAGCATCAGGTGCCTCCAGGGCATCCCATAACGCAGCCTGCGCGCACAAAGAGACAGAGGGAAAAATCCGTATACAGGCTTTCTTAGCAAGAATCGCACCCGCGGAAGTTCCTTCCGGGCGCTTGGCCTACTTCCTCCCGAGTTCTGTTCAACTCGGTTCATGAAGTCAGAATGCTCATGCGCATTCGGAACGCCAGCCGGTTTTTCTGCCTGCTGCTCTCAACACATTCTGAAGAACACTCATGATTCTTTTCAAATGCAAAAAAAAGCTTATGAACTGCTTCGACGAAGTCTCGAGACCCATATGCAGTATCATTCAGTGAAAAAATTTTTTTTATGCTCGTTCATCTCGAGAACATATTGTCGAAGTCCCGCAACTCCGCGAACGTGCACAAAGCCAAAATGCAGTGCAGTTTAAATAGCTCAATCTCATGAAAGCCCCGATGTCCTTGATTCTTTTCGGAGTACCTGAAGAACGACCATTCGGTTCCAAAACTGCTCTTCTATGCTCACGACGTGACCATACCAGTTGATCGTATGCAACGATCATGAGGTCCCGTAGCGACTTATGACGACTGAATAGGATCATCTAAATTTCTAAATAAAAACCGGCATTGAATCGTAGTATTTTTTTAATGAGTACCGTTCTTGGAATTTACGGTATCTGTATAGTGGCCGATAAATGGTAGCAAGGAAAAGCGCTTCGCGATCTCACGAAACAAACTGATCAGCGAACGAGAATGACAAGCATCCTTCGTTTGCGGTTTCTACCCGACATTTTCTGCGGAATCAGCAAGTATCACGGAAACAACGGCGTCGGCTGAAATCGCGGAGGAAGATGTCCAAGCCAGACATACAGTAATTGATGCGAACCGAGCAGCGGTTTTCCCGAGAAAAAATGGGTTCTTTGACCGTGAAAATGCTTCGGGCTTCCGACTTCTGCGTTCGTTGACGCAAGGCTGAGGACAGAAGGACAACTGATTTGTTTCAAGACGAAAGCTTCATATCTTATTGAGAATTATTTCTTGCAATTAATCATAAGGAACTGGGAAATGAGCTGAAGGGATTTTGTTTTGAAAGAAAAAGGGCTTTGCACCCGGGGAACGGGAACCCCTGTCGGCACATCAGGTACAGTAATTGCTATTGGTGGTGTACGGAATAGTCCTTAAAAGTAAATTAAGGGCGTTCAGTGCTGAACCTGGAGAGCATGGGCTTGAATGAAAGATTTACTGAAAAATATTAAGTAAAAGGGAGCTGCCAGCACTTTACTCAGGTCAGTAATATAACATAACTGTACATAACTTACATAGTAACCATATGTAAAACCTACCCCAAGTTTTTGTCAGCTGCATTTTTTAAAATTTATGCGCTTACCAAATATTGTGCTGGTGCTGAACTGATTTTCAGTAAAGATTGGGGAGCCTCTGGGCTATTATGTGTGCCGCTCATTTTTCAACAATACTGTATTTTGTCTTTGTTGATCATTATTGTATCTAAAAGAGTTATTCTTCATCTGTGAGATCAGTTGTATTATGCTTGGGAATTGTTTTTTTCTCTCATGAAACTGTACTAATCTAAATTGAAATCAGCTCTGTTTCCTTCCTTTGGATGATTTCAGGGTAGCTTTCTCCATTGCATTAGTCTTTTGCTCTCCTTCACATCCACTTGAAGTCTCCAAATGACTGAAACTTTTATTGCAGAAACATTTTCGCCTCTCACAACTGTCGCAAATAATATTTCTGAGAAATGATTATTGCTTGGAAGATAATTGCTTATTGACAAGGAGAATTGTTGGCACCTCACATTTCCTTTCCGTTTTTCCTTTACGTGTGACGCTCACTGGTTTGTGATATGGTAAATATGGTACTCGTACGCCCTGAAGCACGGGTACCGTTTTCATAATATGTGGAACATCTAGGAGGTGGTCAGCTATGGCTGCCATATCTTGCGAGGGGTAAAGTTGATCCATACATAGACACTTCTGGGTATAAAGCAAGCGCTAGACTCATCCGCTTAGAAACAGTTATCGAATGTGTTCCGAGAAGAGCATGTGGCAAGAAAGAATCTATCATTCTATTTCATCCGGTTACAATCACCGAAAATTCATGAAGCAAACGGACAATCGCTTATTTATTCCAAGTCCTCATTCGAAGAGCTTGGTTCAATAACGCGTGACCTTACCAGTAATAAGTGGCTTCGCCCTGTTCGGAAACCCGATCTTTGAGTTTAAAAAAGTAAGGAACCAGTCCGTCACGTCTGCCGTTGCCCGTGACTGGTTGTTGCGCACTTAAAACCAGGTCAACGATTCGCTTCAGAGGCAATGTCCTTGCCGAAAAATAAGCGGAGCAGCACAAGTCAGAATGCAGTTTTTTTTTTTGCATCCTCGAGGGGACGAACGCTGACTGCAAGAATCTTTTCTATCAATAGCGCATTGCGCAAACGATGCGAGACCAAGATCAGGACAAGGCCTCAAGTCAACCGAAGATTTATATGCACTGACACGAAGACGAAGCACGACTTTTCACGACTCATCCAGAAGATCAATTCCGAGGTATGTAAAATACTGTATTCAAATTGGGGAAACGCGGTGACGACAGAAGAAAGGCATCCAGCGAAAAGCCCTTTTGACTGACAGTTACGCTAGATCAACTCCTTTTCGTTTCAATTGAAACTTGTTTCGTTTGCTCATGTACTGCTTAGTTTTGGGAGTGTACACTAGATTAGTCTGAATTCTAGTTATCGTGAATACTCCGCATACGATGGCTGTGCTTTTTGTAAGCTGGATATTCGTTATACACCGATCATTCCTGATACGAAAAAAAGCTCGTTTCGATGTGTGTATGGTAATGCCTCACAGTAAACGGTACTCCCAAAGCCATGCAGTAACAGAAGAGACGCAAATCGGATATGGTAAAACGAGATGGGCTTTTCGTCTGCTGGGTCGCTTCTCTCCAGGAAAAGAAGAAACTATAAACTGCGCGTTGTCACTTGAAATTCACATGTAATCATCAGAATGTTGGGATTTCTCGCAAGCGGGACGACAACAGCTCAACCAAAGAGGAAGACTCTGGCCAGGAAGCGCTTGTGACCAGACACGGAACAAAACTGAGCCCTGAAGACGAGACTCAGCCGCAGCCAGGCGTGTCTGATCACTCATGTGGAATATATGACCTCTGAAAATCCTCGCCGCTCTTCGCCTGACCCATAATGCGCTGCGAGGAGGCCATGTCTCCCACGATCGACTTTCAGGCAACCCTCGCGTTCTCACGCACATGAAGACGCATTTTTCAATCGGTGATCGACGAGAGCGCGTCGTTTATTTACGAACAGGGGTCCTCAACTGCATGCAGTTCTGGCGCGAAGCAGTAAGCGTTTTTTGGGGGAAAATCCTGCTTCTCCACGCCCGAAGGTGCTGCGCGGAACTAACATGCTAATAAAAAAAAGTTCTCCTATCCAAAAGTTAACCAGGGATTGCTCAAATAGTTCAACTCGAGTTACGCCCGAAGGCAGGAACAAAAGCTGGCTCAAGTTCTGCCGTATCTCCGGTAGGCGAGAAGAAGAAAAGCGGGGAGAGCTTTTCGTCTAGGCTGGCGGAAAGTTGCCACGTGACTCGGACGCTTTCTTCCACTTCAGTTCTTGTGGGTGCTTTCATAAAAGAAAGACACCCTCTTTCGCAGCGAGAACCTGAGTTATAATTGAAATAAACTTCATTGTACAACAGGGGCGTGAAGTTCAAGTCACGCTACAGCGACCAGCGATTTTTCGCTGACCACCGAAGAAATTTCCGCCTCCGCTCGATTGGGACACGAAAATGTTTTGGAGTTATGCGCAAGAAGGGGAGTAATTTTTGAACTCTTGCTCAACCACAAAGACGGAAGGAGAGGATGTTGTGCGTTTGCCATAGGAAAAGTTCACTACTTCTTCACCCACGACCCTGAAGAAAAATCCATAGTATTTTCTCCGGCGATCCTTTAAATTTCATTTTAATAAGTGACTACCTTTCCTACACCGTACTTTCGTTCGATGCAAATGAAACCAATTTCGGAGCTGTTAGCGTTAATATACCGCGTTAACTAGGGTGACGTGAACCGATTTTAAACAATGCATTTTAAAGCTACCAATTTTAACAAGGAGAGTCAGAATAAAGTTGATTCGCCAAGTATTCACAAACGACATGCAACTTCTCAAATAAATTAGATTACGATAAAAAGGAATCAAAATGCAGAGGTGATGAATATCGTGGAAACTTTCAGAATAATTCATTAACGAATGACCTTGGTTGTCACACAAATTTAGGTAAAACCATTAAATTGTTTAGCATTTGAGATGTATATATGTCGCTGTTCGACATTTTCTACGTTGATAATGTAAAGCATGAGGGAGATCTCACACTTGAAAAATCGACCTACGTTATCTTGGTCCACCGCATTTTTTCCTACAAAATATACATCTAAGTTACCTGTTGAACGTTTTTATTTTTGAGGTGTACGTTACTGCAACTTTCAAAATTGTTCTGAAAATTTTACGCGCGATCCAGAGCGAAAAATATTCAGAGGTCAATCCATTGAAGTGGAAGTAATTAACGTTGAATAAAATGTGTGATTCCATATCAGGCTTATAACACTAACAAATACTGCAATGATCTTCAAGAAATCGGATTTCTCCAAATAATCGCTATTGAAAAGGCGTTAGGCAATATATGCTAATTGAAAAATGGCTCTATACGAGTCAAACGGGATCTAAAACTTCAATTTAGGGAGAAGATATCTTCCCAGTTTCCAGGGATCAAGGTAAGGGAAGTAGTATTCACTCACGTTGTGAAGAAGTGCTTGACGTGACTCCAACCTTTCCTGACACCACCGAGTCGGAAACAGCAACTATAACAGACGTAGAAGCGGACGCCTCGAGCACCGCCACAGCTTCGGGCAAGGCTGGGTGTTGCTCGTCGCACGGGTTGAACTCCGCGCCCGGCGGCGACCCGGGTTCAGTGTCGGCGTCCGCTGCCGCCGCCGCCGCGTCGTCCTGCTCCTCGCGGGCAGGATCCATCTCGTCGCCGGCGGCACTGACAGCGGCGGTGGTAGCAACCTGCGTGCCCCAACGTGAGCTCAACTTCATTCGTTTGAAGATGGACTCGAGCTCAGACTCGAGTTCTTCGCTGAAGTCGTCGCTCATCGAGTCCCTCGATAGGACCGTGATGTCGGCACTGGATCGGAACTGGACTTGCTTCTTTTTGCGTTGCTTGTCGTGCGACGGGGTTTCGAGTTCGTCTACCGACTCCGACCTCCGGGCCAAGTGCCTGCCCAGCTGAGCGGGTTCTTTCGGCTCCTCAGCGACGGAATGCTTTCTTGATACGCTTACGCTCGATCTATTGGAATTAAACCATCGTGATGAGCCCCTCGATCACAAAAGTTAATACCGAAATCACTAAACCTTCAAATTACGAGATATATGCGAGTACAACACACCGTTGTGCTGGTGCCTAATGATGTACAGTAAAACGAATCAAATTCTATGAATATATTCGTCGTAACGAAAAATGTTTCCCTGAATCTAATATGGAACGTTTTTTTTCGTTTCAAGCAAGGTGGAACTTGTTAAATATCGAAAAATTAACCAGAAATTGACCCATGAACTGCAGCCGTGTATCAATGCGTCTCAATTCAATGGACGAGGCAGTTTTAAGTTTAAATTCTTAAACCGGAAAACATTTATAAGTAGTGCTCATGCTCATTTCTTTTAGTTTTCTACGAGGAAAAGCGCACATTATCAAAGGAGAATGGATATTCTAAATTTAATTTTTGAGCAAAACTCAACTTGCTTCCTAAGGGAACTGCCGCATCGTTTCAGCGGTACTACGTACATTGCTTTTGGCAGTTCATAGACGGAGGCATTTTCCGCGGAAATAGGGTTCTCCATAAAGAACACATAGGATGTACTTACTTGTTTCAATCAATTTTGGAGGGAAAAGGAAAAGTGGTTGAAGGAAGTTATTATTATTTTTTTTTGCCTGTGACACCACTACAATACTTCACAAAAATTCAAAACCAAATTTATTCGCAGACTGCAGCAAAGACGCTCCGGTCTCAATAAATCATTTCGAAATTAAAAAGTGAAATCTCATCTGAATCTTCTTCAAATTTTCAATGCTTCGACCTTTATGAAATGAATCTCTACGCATGAAAATGGTACACATGTCGAGGGATTTCGAATGTTGCGCTGGTTCAAGAATTGGTGAGTGATGCATATTCGCGCCTTAAATAAATAATCAATAAGTAATGCCTTTAATAAAATAAATAATATTATCATGAATATGTTTTACATGATATCCGAAGAATTGTTTTTCTGGCGCCAGGTGCATGAGGTGCGACAAACTCAATCGTGCATTTTCTCCAGCGCTTGCTTGCGCAGATACTGCTTGTTTTTATAAGATCGAACCTTATAACTCGATTAGACTATGAATATAGGCTCAAACAATCTAAAAGATTCGGTAATGTGAAGATAAATCCTCAAAATTATCCTGTAGTTCGCGAAATTGTACACGAAGAGCATGCACGCATGATATGACACTACTGTACTGTATCAGTCTCAATTATGAATGAATGTCTATGAGGAATCACGTCAATGGCTAAGAATTTCTATCGATGACAATTTTTGCGCATGCAACAGGGATTAATGACAAAAAATCATACGTGCTGTTTTGATGCCGTTCTTACAGAAGAATAGTACATATTGAACGTTATATTCATTGAATATAAGCCTCACTATCATCAAATACTAACCGATGTGTATAAGTCCTTTCCTATGAAACCAGAAAATAGGCCCTGCCATCTTATGCTGAAAAAATATACTGTACAGTACTGTACAGTACAGTACTTTGCTTCACTTAGCACGCCTAAACTTTTCAAATTCAAATCATTTTTCTCCTATTCCTGCCAAAAGTTCGATTATTTCGTTGCTTACGATTTACCCAAAACATTGTTCCTAACCTAAAGAACATTCAACGAACCATCAAATCCTGATTAATACTATTCCTCATCATTTTAATTTGAATATTCCATGCGATCTGCCGTAATTACACTCATGCTCAGAGAAAACAATGGTAACTCAATACTTTTTTTATTTTTGAAGAAATCCGGTATTCAGGATATTGTAGTTACTTCCGGGCGGAAAAAATACGAAAATCATAACGTTGAAAGGTGATACTTTCAGCATTCTGAATTATGTCGCATAATGCACGAACCTTTCAACGGGTTGCAGGGGTGGTTTCTTCAAAATTGACTTGAGCTGGTTAATCACAGCGTCCTGCGGGTTAACCAACGTATTCGACACTGAGTCACACGAGGAAACCCGCTTGACAACAGGTTGATCTCTTTTCTGCCGAGGCGGCCTTTTCGGGGCGTCCGAATCATCGCTGATGCCTGACGTGGACGACGAGTCGGATTCGTTCAAGGAGTTATCCCTACCATGCTGCGCCAACGGCATCGGCGGTGGTGGCGGTGGCAACGGCGGCGGCGGAGGTATCGAACCAGCCATCAGAGGTTCGCCGCTCATTTTCACGGGATATCGATCCGGCAGAGGCGGCGGAACTGGAGCCTTGAAAACACCGTCGTCGTTCGGCATTTTCACGTAATCGACGCTTTCGTCGAGCATCGTCGACGAATTGTTGCTGGACATTGTCCCGATACCGTAAAGACTGCTGTTGTTGCTCGTGTTCACTGTGCATTCGCTGGACGACGACGCTTCTTCTCCTTCGCCGTCGCTGAGCAGCTGATATGACGGCGGCCCATTTCGCAGACGAATCCCACCAAGCACTTCGTTCTTGTTGTAATCTGCCAAAGAAAAAGAAACGCGACCCCCTTCTCTTAACACCATCGCTCACGTTCGCACCGATCAATCAACGAGGCAGCGGCAATTTCCGGTGCGAAAATTATAGCCCACACTCCTAAAACGCTCTCCAGGGAAAAGTAAAAATTGGCGTGAAAAACCATCGTCTCGCTAATTTTTTTTTTTCGTTTCGCGCGAGCATTCTCCTTTGTTCGACGCTCATGCAGGAAGTGGAAAACAATAATTTCCTTATTGAAGCAAGTGGATCACCATTTCAGCTTTTTTTTTATTCGTTCCCCTTTCATCTTTCGAAAACTGGGAAGTAGCGTACGGGGTTGGACGGAAAATACAAGCATCCCCTTTTTTTAGTGACATCTTGGGAATAAATCAAGATATGATATTCAAATAAAAATTGAATGAACTTGACGTTGACGTGGTTTTCAAGATGATAGTCGGAACTGTAACGAAGATATCTTTGTTTAAGAATAGGTCCAATACAGTATTTGTTGGTCCGAGGGAGAGGTACTTCCGTTCTTCGTCTATCCGAGGCGCAATACAGTATGTAACCGATTCAGCAAAAGAAAATATTTTTTTCAGAATTCAAATTACTGTACGGCACACTTTCATGCTCAAGAATTCAATGCAATCATCCGTGAGGAAGCTAGTTAAATTATACAATTTATTTTCTTTCATTTGAAAGAGACCCCAAAAATTGAACTTGAAATATTGCCCAGTAAAAGTCAAATGTCGTTGTACGCATCTTACGCGCGTTGAATCTCCAAGAAGCACAGATGAATAAAAATTCGTGGGAAACGAAAGTTGGATCATAAGCGAAGCAGTGGATAAGGTCATCCCCTAATTTCAGGCAAAAATCTACGAGAAAACCATGGAACCCAAGAAGTGTGAAGTCAAGTCCCAGCTAGCAGTTTAGAAACGCGAATGTCGGGTTTACTTCTCTATGTTAAGCATTTTTTGTTTGCGTCAAAATGTGAAAGACATTGATTGCGAATGTAAAACACGCGTTCATTACACTAAATTGCTTTAGCCAGTGGAATATATTCATGCTTCAGTTACCAACTGGGTCTCCTCAAACACTTCCGATGGAAGTCAGGATTATTATGTGTCATTGAACTGGAAATGCTCGTGAAGGTGTATTAAAATTACATTTTACTGTATTTCGAATGCATGTTTTAGTCAGACGCATTTACTTGTTTGTTTGCGAATCTTAGGCGAAAACATTTAAGCGGCACCAATGAGTGATTTTTCATGGCCAATGTTTCCTTAAGATATGTGTCAATAATATAAGTAATCATGAAAGACTAATTCCAAAGAGTTGCTTTCCGTTTTATATTCCAGCTTTTTTTTAACGAAGGGAGTCCAAAATGAGCAGTTGTCGAAAATGAGTTCTAACCTGTGAATTTCGGAATCCGTTTGGCTGGCATGGATCTCGCTTCAAGCTGCAGAGCGTTGTCGCTCAGTTCGTCGCTGCCACTGTCGTAGCCTAAGAAATCCGACCTGCCCAACCGCATCATCAAGTCGTAGGCGTTGACGTTGCACTCCAGGATTGATTTACGAGGTGGGGACGCGAGTCCGTTATTGGAAATGCGGTCACTTGCGTCGAAAAATTCCTCTTCGAACGAGCTGTTGTCCCATTGCGACGCGGTGTCGGGCTCCTTGCCACCGACGGCTCCTCGCGAGTATGCAGAATCGCGCGAGTCGTCCCTACAACCGAAACACAATTTGAATCATACCCCTCAAGTCTGATAATTGCTTCATTAGCGCTCTGTGAATACATTTCCCCGACTATAGGGAACCAAAAAATAATAATATTTCGTCGCTTCCACGGAAGAAAATACTGTAATGCACCGGCGTCTCATGCCACATACACCTCACACAGCAAAAACCATGTAGAACAAACTCGGGCTCCCAAAAATCTCATGCAACAAATTATTTTAGAAAAAGTTCCCCGTTCCACAGAAAAAAACGAACTGCCCCAACTAAAAACCGGGTGGCAGCGGTTCTACAATCTTGCACTCTAGCAATTCAGTTATTTCTGGATATCAACATTTAGAAAGCTGCTGTTCTGGTTTTTTATTTATTCTGAATCCGTGTAACCTTTTAAAGTGATGCATGAGTTGAACTGAAGCGAAGACGTGACCGAAAAAGAATGGCTCACGAAGGAAAGTTTTCGTCAATTTTGAGTTGAGAACGCGTGGGTACTTCCCCATACATACGAGTATATTATGGAAAACGCGTCCCACACTAAAAGTGACCCTAGCAAAATCAACACTGATTGAGAAGACTATGCTCTCTCCGAAAATGAAATTTTGTAGAACTGCAACACAGTAATTCGAATCTCCGGGATTTGGTCATTCAGACATCCGATTAAGTGAGCTCAAAATACTGTACTCTATAATTTAAAGAATTCCCAACAACGAGTAATAATTTGGGTAAATAAACCATAAGACTAGCAGGAATTTAAATAATATTAACTCAAGACACTTTATGTTTTCCCTGACTTATAGGTCTTGAACACCATCACATAAATTACGCCATCGAGTATAAAACGAATCCGGATTTATTTTTCAACTCGTTTTCGAAAAATAATGATTCTCATCTTCGAGTCCACGTGGTATTACAGTACCTGGTTATCTTGTGATCGATTAATAAGTGTTGTACTGAATCATGAATTAAATGCTCGTGGTCTCTCCCTGGAAACAGTACCATGTCCATCAGACAGGGTGAAAAGGCAAGATCGTTAAAGGTGATTTAAAATAAAATTATTGTCTAAGCCCCTTTCCTTTTCCTCAGCGAGAGCTCAGAGGTGTAAAGAGGGATTCGGGCAATCGTAAAATGCTCTACTCACGTATTATCGAGAGTAAACGCCGGCTCCGAGGAGGAAATCGACACCGGAGGCGCGAAATCCACCGGCAATGGACCCCGAGTTTTGGTTCCACTCCGTATGGAGTGCACAGTCGCGAATCTGTTCTTCTTCGCGGAAATATAGTCGGGGAATTCCTGGTACGAAGACTCCTCCACCTCTACCAATGTAGCCGGACGATGGAAGCTTTCCGAACTACTGTTGCTCGTCCCGGTGAGCAGCCTGGCTTTGCGCATGAACGAGTAGGGGTCCTCTGTGGAGCTGAGCACCGAGTTGAGGCTCGGGCGCGAGCGGCCTTTGGTCTTGTTTCTCCCGGTGGTCGTCGACCTGCGAGCGCTGCGCGGTGACAAAAGAATACACTCATTCCTTCCTTCTTGCCTTCCCATCTCCCCCTAGCCACGGGTTTGCATAATGCCCGATGTTTCGAATGAATTATGCCCGCATTTCCCAGCTAATTGCTGCTATAATTGCCGGCTACCCCAATTTACAGCTATCAAGAGGTTGTCGTTATTTTGACTTTGAAGAATACGCAGCTGACGCAACGACCAGCGACTCGAATTTTTCAACACCCCGAGCACACTAGTTCTTCACTGATGAAAACACATGTAAGAGCCTTAGTTTGCTGACTACCGAGTCCACAAGAACAAAAAGACCTGAAATTACAGTGTTCACAAGCGTGTAGGACACGCTCTTTTCTATGTACATCCATCCAAAAACTCGGGTGTGGTCCAAATTCGATATTATAAACGTACACGTACACGGTATGCCGAGCCACTGTTTCACCTGTGTGGAATATACTCAAAATCATGCGAAATTCTTGAAAACAACCAAACGCATGCTCTGAACTGGCTCACTTCCCAGAATATTTAACGTAGTATATCCCTGAGTTTTACTTCATGCAAGTAAGAGGATTGCTCTTATTCCCTACTTCTTTTGGCGAGGGATTTTTTTCAGTTTCCGTCCATGTACAGTATTTCCCGCGTATTTTCAAAAAATGTTACTAGAACGAAAATATCTAGAACGATATTTTCATAACAAATTTATTCGGGTACAGTTAGACATTCTATTAATATACAGTAGCTCATATACAGTGTCATCATCTGTATAATTAAATACTTCACGGACTTCCGAATATTTTCGGAAAAAAGACAGTTCACCTCAAATTAAAAAACTGGACTGTATTGCATGAACAACTTGTCTGCAACCACATTCTGGGCAAGAATGATCATTTTTCTCTGAATATCGTGCAACAAGATATTTCAGAGTTTAACAATCTACAACCCCCCGAAAACAATAACTTTATTAATTACGTAAAAGTGCTCGAAGTAAGTAAAATGTCTAGGTCTTTTTCTCGTTGATAAAAGGATTCAAATCGGATTCAGTAGGCATCTTTTACATTGGCTGGTAAAAAAATTTAATTGTTCATGGTTTTTTTAAAGGGCGATTTCTTCTGAGGCAGACCGAATGATTGGGTTGGGGTTTTTAGGTTTTCAACAGAAAAATCAAAAGTTTCCCACTTCAGCGTATCGTGGAGCTAATCAAAAAGGGCCAAAACTGTGAGTGCCACACATTTGTGGGCAAGTTCCAAAAAAGCGAGCTTACCTTCCATGACTGTTGCACCTCTTGCAATCTTTGACGAATTTAGTGCGCGATCGTTGACTCGCGGACAGTTTGGCCCGACACGCGCAAATGAATTCGTCCAAGTCGAAACCCGGTCCGGCGATCTCTTCATACACCGCTTCCGGGACCCCGGCTTTGGGCATGGGCAAACGCGGTTTCGGGTCCCAGGCCTGCACCACTGGCGCCGTTCGGGCCAAGTCGCGGACAGGATTCGGCGGCGCCCCGGCGCTGCGGCCGTAAGTGGCATACAGCCAGGGCTCCGCGTACTCCATGGACTTGGCCAAGGCGCTCTGGCTCGTCACGGTGCCGTAGGTGGACCCGGGCGGCTTCGTGCCGTAGTTGATGGCCATTCGGGCCGGGTTGCCGGGCCCGTCGCGGTCCTTCCACCGCTCTCGCAGCTTCGGCAGGGCCGGCAGCCGGAGCCGCTCGCCCCATGTCTTCTTCGCCTTACGCTGCGCAACGGATCCGTACCACTGGTGATGAAAAACAGAAAAAGCAGCATGAAAGTCAATTACGATTTATTCGACCACATGAACAAAGGGTCTGCAGCCCTGATGAAAAGTGAAATAATCTGATGAAAAGTAAAAGTTTGCTTTTCTCCTTATAACACTTCAGACAAAGTGTTGCCGACCAAAGTAATTTTTTTTTCTATTAGAACCCTCTCTTAAAGACCAGCTTTTTAATTTTTTGATATTCCACAATAGCTGCTTCATTATTAATGAAGCATAATGTTTGCAATGAAAGTTTTGGTTGGAGGACTTTCAGGAAGGTACATAAAAAAATGTTGCTGGTCTCCAAAAATCTTATGGAAATTTGCTGGGCTACAAAAATGTTATGAAATTTGCTGGTCTGCAAAAAAATTCATGTAAATGTGCTGGTCCAAGAAATAAATTTCATGGAAATATGCCAGTCTGCGAAAAGTTTTATGGAAATTTACTACTCCACGGGACCAAAAGGTTGGCGAGGACTGTCTTAATCCAGGACCATTTTTATTTCCTGATGAGACTTCTGAATGATTATATATTTCCGAATAATGTACCTTTACAGAATGTCCTCATCAGAGGCTTCGAACTTTTGCATAACGATATGAAAACTTCCTCGTCTCCAGATGATTGGAAATGATGCCGAGAATAATATTTTCCGGAATAGAAAGTTTATTCATTTGAGGAATTTGATCCTATGTTTATTTTCGATGGATGGTCCACCGGTAGATTCAGGTCAATGATTGTTAGTTCAATCGGGTATTTTTCGGGTCATGCGCTTTAAAGGAGAAAGTTAAACGAAGAGAATCTGGATTTTTCAACAAAGAACGCGTTTCATTTATATTTTCTTTTGTTTTTGTGTCATTCACTCATCACACGAGGATTTCTAATCCCGAGAAGCTTTCAAGCTTCAAAATAGCTAACTAATATTTTCTCGTGGAACTGAGAAAAAAAAAGGGAAATATTCGTCATGTGCTGATTACCTTTTTTTAAACTTTTAATTGACATTTCTCTCAGTGAACCACCGGTAATTTAATACTGTATCATTGATGATCAGTTCAATCGAAGATTATTTGCATTATGTATCGTCTAGGTTCTAGGAGAAAGTCATTCTGAATGCTTCCGGTTGGAATTACGAATATTTCATGCGATTTCGCAAAAATTTTCGCCACGTGGGGCTTTGAACTTCATAATACCAGTGCGAACGAAATATTTTCCCGTATGATAATGGAAACAATTTTATTTTCAAAATCTGGCATTTAATTTTTTTTCCATTGAGCTTAGGGTTTTCGTTATTTCTCACCGTTAATCTACACCTGGGTGTCGAAGGCTCAGTTTTTTGTTTGTTTTTCATTCACACCTTCTATTATGGAACTTCCGCGCTTTCCTCAGCCATCAGAACTTCCGCCTTTCTGCAATTTTCTAACGTATACCGCAAAATCTAACGGGAAATCAGTGAACGTATTTTTTTTTTTAGCAATTACCTACTGGAATTAATAATGTGGAAGTTTGGAGCTATGCTCTTTCGTGATTTGTGAAAGGATATAGAAAGCATCCAAATCGGAATAATTTTATCATAGAAATCCCACAAAAAAGCTCTCATAATGATTCCGAGACTCGAACCGAGGCAATTATATTCGAGTAATACGAGTAAATATGAGAGACGTCAGTAGTCGAAAGAAAGGATTGATTTTCGACACGGAGGCCAAGTGATCGTATCAACCAGGTCAGTTCACTTGCCCTCCTGAAAAGATCACAAAAGGAATGCTGCGATTCCACTTTCGAGACTGACATTGATTCCTCTCAACGATCCCCCAGTCCATTTCACTGTAAATGAGTGCTCCAGATCACCGCGATGAAACCACGAAAGAAAGTAGATCTTTCTTTTTTCCCTCTACATCCCCCACGTCGCTCGTCGTCTGACCACGACAACGGCGACGTAAGTCGCAACTCATGATTCCAGTAGGATTTTCGCTTCAACAACGTTTCCGTGTCGTGATTCAAGGATTACTGACAAATCACGAGTTCGCTTGGTGACACATTTAGTACTGTTTCTGTGAAAGTAGAAGCAGAAATTATCGTCGTCATGTCATTTCACTGCAAGAATTTGGCTTCTTGCATGCAATTTTTTTACCGAAGCAATGCCGTATAGGCGTGGTTGGGTAAATATGGTACCCATCGAAATGAAAACTTTGAAACGCTTTGTAACTAAAACGTCGAAACACTTCGAAATTAAAATCGGATTTTGAGTCTTGTGCCAGTGAGCTGAAAATTATGAATATTAGGTTTTCGGTTGGATTCTAGCCTTCATTTTTTTCAGAAGACTTCGTTGGTCAGAAGCAGAACTCGGAAGTGATCACGTGCTTGACCTGTGACTTCAAGACGTCCTCAAATATGATGCCCCATCAAAAGTGAGAAGGGCCATAATTTTGTCAGCCGATTTTTTCGAAGACATTTTTTCTATTTTTTTCTATTGTGTGTCACATGCTAATACGATGTCAATAAAATTATATAATAAATATTATTATTATTGATTTGATTTCGATATGAGAAGGGTGGGTGGGTGGCGCTTGTCCGTTATCATGTTCAATGAAAACATTTCCCTCTTCGACTGGCGTAAACAATTGCTTCAGTATCATTCAAGAAATAAAAGAGTAAAAAACACTGTATGGTCACTAGCTTATTCAGGACGAAGCTTGCTTCATCGTATTTGTTATTTGATCGATGAAAAACTTCACGGAAGACAGACGTCATGCTCAGTATCGATGGCTAGTCCCAAATAATTGAATCGGGATTTTGAAGATTTTCTCAACTTTTTTTTATGGTCGCCTTGAAGTGACACATAAAGCTTCGCTGAGTTCCTCCAGGAAAGGTCAGTTCTGTACAACAAGAAATGCCCCTATTCATAAACGCAGCCGGGCTCCCAAAAACGTGGGAATAAAGACAAACACAAATCCAACACTGACGGACAACAAACCAAGACATGGCTTTATGGTTTAAAAATCTCTTCCTTTCACGAAAGACCCTTTGTGGTTAGCCACAGACTGCAGGACCGGCAGAAAACGTCTGGCCACGCCATTTATTCAGACTGAATGCATATTTTATTAGTGTATTAACAGCCAATGACATGCTTTCAGCGAAAAGTCATATCACGAAGACTACCGCATTTCGAACAATAATAAACATCCATAAGTGCAGTCAGAAGTGCGCTCTTTCGCTAAACCATTTGAATATGTGGTCGTCGTTCTAAACTCTCAGATCATATACTGTTCAACCATGAGCACCTGGAAAGTGGATCTCAATAAGTTACATAAATTCACTGTAGCGTTCAAGAAATTACAACCAACAATATTCGGCATAAGACGATGAAATCCACAACATACCGGGAAATATTACCCGGTAATGAGAGTGGGAGGGAAGAATGAGGTTCGTTAAATTTTGAATTCGGCTGCATTCACGTCGACAGAATCTATTTTTCGCGAGAGTAAAGATAAATTCACTTCTTCCAGGAAATGATGCACATGCGCAAACTCGCACCTAACGTACAGGAACGCTGATAGTTTCAATATCGGGAAATAATGCTTGAAGACTCACAAGAAGACACGCACACCCAAGGTTTCTCTTGTCGAGCTAGGCAAGATAATATATGCAAATGAAATCCACTAAAAAATCAGAAACATCCCTCGAATCCCAGGCAAGGGGGAGGCGTTCATCCACGCTCGGATAGCTCAGAAGCCCCATGAGGAAATCCGGTTTGCGACGCATAGGAGATTTACGAGGCCTAAACGTGGCAGCGGCGCGAGAGGAGAAAGTATCAAGAACATCGCTGAGAAACGCCACTTCGCCGAGCATTCACGTAGTTTTTTTTTCTCTCGATAAGCTCAGGCACTAATTATTTACGAATCTCGAACAAGCATTGAGGAAGCGAAGCGGAAACGCGACCCAAATGGTCGGTATATACGTATAGCCGAAGGTGCCCGTAGTTCGTGATTTTTCGGCAGTGCCTGGTCTAAGCCGCGATTCCAAAAAGGTCGAACGTTCGCATTTCACCTGACCTGCAAAGATTAAGCTTCGCGCCGGTACAGGCGAGTCCCTGGTCTTTTGTACTAATGAGGTCCCTTCCTTTCAAAGACGATAAACTAAACTAAAATACCGTATTTACGCGAGTATAGGCCACAATTGATTTTGAGCGGAGACATTTTGAGAAGGGGGGATGTAAACGCCAGCGAAATCGGAAATTTTCATGGAAGATGCATGCGGTCAAAGCGAGAGAAAAACTTGTTTTCTTAAATAATACTTTAAACAGAGGAGAGTGGCATATTTTAGCTTGTTCATTGACTTGTTTCATGATTATCCTTTCACATATAAAATCCGTGCCCTTGTCCATTTTCCTTTTCGATTGTTTTTTACATGAAAAAAGGGAGGAGGAAGGATAAGAATCAGCTAAAGGAGTGAAGAAGACCGATGATTTAAATTTGATTATAGTATACTTCGGTGAATAATTCAATTGTCTATGGCATACCATCGTGAGTACGGTGGCAATACAATAAAAAAATTCAGTACAGCATACTTTTTGAAAAATCTCGAGTTCAGAGCAGGACCCGGGTTTTCTAGTGCACTTTTTGGAGAAAAGGGAAGGCTCCAAACGTGGTACGGATCTCCAAAAACTAATTCGTAGCAAAAATTTCATTTTTTTCATTTAAAAAATCTACGCGATCGTTCATAAATATTCCAAGCTCCGCCAAACGCAACACCATGAGCGAAAAAATCTTGCTCCTTTCGAAAAAACGCTAACTTCATTTTTGATCCGATGTTCAAGGTCTTGAATATCAGAACAGATTTTCTCGACAGTTATAAGTACCTTCAAGGGAGAATGATCGTTCATTCGAATTCCAATAATTTGGGCTAAGAACCGGGTGCCCTTGTCTGTATGATCAAATATCACGGATAAACGAATACCATTGGAAAATATTCATTCGGTCAAACAATTTCAAGAATAATCAAACATATCAATTATAGCAGTCCCGCTAATCTAAAAAGGCGTTAAGATGCTGAAGTGGCTTCGTTTAGAATGATGAGGGGTAAGTAAAATATTATTATTTGAATTAAGCGTTAACCGGGTGTCCCTTGAATCAGCCACATAATTGCTCTATTGTCGATCCATCTGAAGAACGCAAACAAAAGATCTGATGAAAATGTTTACGCAGAAGGAAAATGCAACACTTTCATGCAGAAACTAGCTCCGGACTTCGGTCGATGAAAAAAATCGTTGCAAACGATTTACCGTGGATTTTTTGTTTTTGTTTTGTGATCATTTCCTATTCAGAAATCCTCCAAACCCCCACGGAACGCCTCGTGGCTTATAATAATCACGTGTGTCTGTTCAGTAAGACCGACTGAAGTCTAATCGCCGTCACCATAGCACGCAGCCGGGAAGTCCTTTTGAAATTGCTCTGCTTTCTTCTTCTTTTTTCCTCAAATAAAACGCTCAGAAGATTGTGCCCTGTGTATATAGTCGCAACATTTCCAATAAGTCGAACAAATAATGCGGTGCGAATCGCCTTGAAATAATACGACTTCCGATCCGCCGTTGCAGTCACGGAAGTCACATGTGAGCAATAAAGTTTCACATAGCCACGTCGACTTCCGTTTTCTATAGATCGGAGTCGTCAAAAAAATGGAAACACCCTCCTCTTTCACCCAGGAAAAAAATGTAGTGCGTAATATGAAAATTTGTCTTTTCGAGGATTGCATCAATGTCAGAAGGTTAATTATTCTCATGAAACATAGTCTAATCTCTAATTAATCACAACAGTAATCTTGCTGGCTGTTGCCGCTGTTGCATTGATAATTGTATGGAGAGAATCAGTTAAATTAATAATCACTGATGTGGTCCAATTCTTCAAATAGGAGAAAGGCATGCCAAAAACATTTCAAAATTTGCGAATGCAGCATAGCACTACATGTACCAAGCTCAACGAAAATTAGAAAATTTGACCTTTATACACAGAGAAACCCAGTAAACTTTCTGGGAACAGCAATAAAATTTCAAAATTTTGAAAATAATATCGATTACCAGCAGGCGCCAGTAGTTTTTAATTCAGCAATGGTTTGAAATTTATGTTTTGGGTACGGAATTTGCCGTTTGATGAGTGATTTAAAAATTATTACACAGCAGCTTGAGTAAGAGTCGCGCCGAGTTTTTCACGACATTTTTCCGATAATGAGCATGGCCCGTTAAACTAATTGAATATTTCAGCAGAGTGAATGGCACATGTGCCTAGATACAGTATATTTAGATATTGACAGTTAACTGCACTTATGTACAATTCCCTGTAATAAACTGTACGACAGAATCTTTTTGAAGCCTCTTGACACGATCCCGTAATATCGTTTTTTTTTTTTGCTTCGCTCAGCGAAAACTTTCAATTTTTTATTGGGAAACGAAGCTGAGAACTATGTATTCTGTGGCGGTTGCCAAGAGAATGCAACCAAGAACACCATGCGCATGATTGTCACGAATCATGGATTCGCCGCGGTGCCCCACGTAGCCGTCGTCAATTTTCGGCTGATGTGGCAGTCGAGTGAAAAATGTCGTATCGCGGCAGCTGCAATTTAGTGCACACGTTGGCAGTCGTCTGGAACGGATCAACCTACAGTACTGTTACAGGAGACGGGATAGCACCCACCGCATGTTTCTTCTAACGCCCCCCTGATAAGGAAGGTTACACCAAATTCGTTCCGGAAGGACGTTCATCCCTTGAGAAAGCAAGACCGAATTTATGACATCAATTTAGAGCATATGACCAGCAGGGAATATGGG